CCCCCCCCCCCAAAAAAAATACGCAGTACTACCCCGAATGACATTTAAAAAAAATGTTATACTATAATTACATAGTATATTATATTAGTGAAAAATATATTTAAACTAATAATGAGAATATTGTCTTTAAAGACATATAATTACCACAACTTTTAATAAAATTTTTTTACAAATTATACACGCAACCCGCGTCATGACAAATATACATTGAAATCATCTTTGTGACACCTCTTGAATAAGAATGTTTTGTTCGACACATAGGGGACTCGACATCATCATCAACTGAGGTTCGCATTGTTACAACGATCATATATTCTGTGTTATAACATTTAGTTTTTTTCGTGTTTTTTTGTGTGGCATAATTCTTTTATTGAATTAAGAATAAACAATTCAACGTCACTTATTAATTTTAAATAACTTCTGGTGTTGCCTACGTTTATTTTCTCCACACATCTTAACACGTATCAGATTTTCAACAAACTTAAAATTTTATATTTATGTTTTCAAATGTTATNTTCTTATGATAGTGATTTTAATCACTGTCAGATTAAATCTATACTGGACCCTACTATGCAATGTCTCCACTATGCCGCGACCTCACTGTGCTACCGTTTTTAACAATAAAACTACATTAATAATTTGGTTATCAAATTTTGTACATACGAAAAACTAGACCAAATAATAATTTTAGTTTTTTATTATTTGAGCCTAAAAACCACTGGGTGATTAGGCTAAAATTACCGTAAAGCCTATTAGATAAAATTTTAAATTAAATTAGTTCAACACAAAGTATGTATAATCGTCAACAATTATACTTTAAATAGAAATTTATATTTTTATACTTTAAAATTACATTAATCGAGTACCGAGTATAATATGGGTGAAGATGGGGATATCATTCTTAAAAANATCGCTAATTTTCGAAATTTTTTCACTTTTTTTTCTTAAAACTTCCATAACTTTTTGAAAAATCAACATAATTTTTTTTATACTAAAACCTTAGACATTTCCCTTTCATTTCNTAAAAAAAACATTTTTATTATTTCATACAAATAAAATATAGAATATAACAATACCCGTCAGTGAGTACAAATTAACAAAACAATTAATCTAATGGGTGATATTGCACTAGTGCGCAAGTAAGGCTAATTTTTAGCGTCCAACTTCTTAGAAGGGATCATTTTACTAAACTTGACCATAAGACGCAATTCTTTTTTTAACTCTAAATTTAAGAAATAATTACATAATAGAAAAAAATCCATATTTTATATAATTGATATGAAACTGCAAATTGATTCTCAAACTAGCAAGTAAATAATAATAATGCACCTAATTGGTATGGTTATAACACCTATATTTTTATATTCATCACTGGTAAAGCTTGCATTGATTATATATATAAAATATTAAATTTAGGTTTTAATAGATATACATTTTCTGCAGTAATTTTATGGAAAAAATCAATAAAGTAAATAAATAGAATTTATTGTCCCAAGGTTAGTTAGTTTTGCTCATTATTTAGATGTGATAATTTACTACTCCATTATTTGAATAAAAATATTTTTTTTTTACATAAACAAAATTCTTTATGTTCTAGCTATAAATAAGGTCAAGCAATGTGCATATTTTACGAATTAATACAGAATAAAATTACTAATAGCTATTAATAATGTGATATTTAACATAATCACTATATTTGTAGAGACTAATAATACTTTAACAAATTGATTAAATTTTATTAACATAAGAAATCAATATTTTATTATGATTGTAAATTAAATACGTCTTAAATAAAGTATTATTCCTTAAAAATTAAATCTAATTATTATTCAGGACAAGAATTAATCTTTCAAATATTTCAGGTAAAAAAAATGTAGCTTCAAATATTGGATAATTCAAATTGAATAATGGATTATTCTTTATATTTATTCCATTTATAGGCTATACCAAACTAAAAGAATAATTTCTATTCATTAAACAAAAAATTCAAAATAAATAACAAATTCAAATTAATTAAGTGAGATAAAAAATCTTATTTATTTATTACTGAAAATCATAAAATTTAGTCAATTAAATCAAACGAGACGTAACAGAGCTTAGGTACACGCATTATCATAAATATGCCATAGTCCCAATTACACATCATGTTACGCAGGGAACCAACAGTGACACGTGAATGTCATGTAACAATGAGTAGAAATAGAACATGTACAATCACTAATAATAAATTTGATTATTGTTGTACTTCACATACTGTGTCTTTTACAAGATCAACTACAGGCGCATTAAATATTCTGAAGTTAACATCATTTGTGTCTAGCCCTTTGTAAAGGAATCGTGGTAGTCTATCTGACAAAACCCACAGATTGCCGTTATTGTCAACTTTAAGGTCGTTGGGGAACTCTAACGTTATGCTATCTGACACTACCAAAGCGTTGGTATCAGCTGAGTATTCATCGGCAAAACGATTCGAGTTCCAGCAACCTATGCCATCTTTGTTGACTTGAGTATAGAAAAGTACTCCAGTTTTTTCGTCAAGTGACGATCCACTAGCTTGAGAGTTTGGTCCTCGAGATCCAAGCACTTTAAATTCATAATAGCTATCCGACGCAATAGAAGCATTCTGGATAATGCGAGTTGATACCGAAAACTCTCTGGTACTGGAGAATGGATGGAAGTATAATGTCCTGAAACCATCTTCCTTGACAGCAGACAGAGCTACTCCGAATATACCGTCGGTCCATTGGAAGTTTATACCTCCCACGTGATAGTTACCGGCTAAAGGATCGAAGTGGAAATAATGGTGTTTTACTCTCCAAGATTTATTGGTTGCAAAGCTGTAAACTATTAATCCATAAGCACCTAAATCAGGTATATATGCATAAGCATCATTACATGTTTCTTTGGTGGTATCGGCTAGTACATTAGCGAAAAATGAATCGGGTTTCATATCGTCAGCTTTAAATGTGTACTGTCTGATTAATTTATCAGTTTTTAAGTCGAAGATCAACAATTTTGGTGTTTGAACCTGATTAGCTTCTCCCCAAATATCAGCAAGACCTGTATCTACCATCCACAACCTGTCACATTCATCTACATTTATTCGGAATACAGATACAATACGCTCGCTGGAATTGGATGACAGAAGGTTATTTTCAAAATTCGGATAAGGTATAAGGGATGGTGAACTACTTTTATTATCTGAAAAATATTAAAAGTACAATTTTAAATAATTATACTAAAAATAAGACTATATACTTTTTATTTACTATAAATGATTATAATTAAGAAAGAATAATTCATGCAAAATAGCTTTATAATTTTAAATGTAACTCAATAAAAAATATTTTTAAAGAAAAAATTAATGAAAAATAGAGATCTATATTTTTTTTCGAGTGCTTTATATATATATAAAAAAAAACTGAACCAATAATTTACTAATGCTATTATCATATAACATGTTTTTACAATATGTACAGTACATCATATAATGTTAATAAATTTGTTATATTTTTGATTTAATTATTAACTAAATTTAATATTAGCCACTCGATTTCTCTTAAGAACTTGACTAGTTAATAACAACTTTTGTCCTTTTGACTCATTATATTGGAAGTTATAACTATTTAAAATATTAAGTAGGAGTGAGGTATGGGTTATGTTTTTTTTATCATTATGTCACTCTGCCGCGCTCTTCCTCTATTATTTATGTAAAAATGTTAATAACATTTTAAGTACTAGTTCAAAAATCGTTATTGACAAGTTATTTTTTATTTTGTAAGCTAGTTAAACATGCATGATATCGTAAAAAAAAAATAAGGTTGACGTCCTTGTAATGTATAAGGGATGAATTAAAAAATACCAAAAATAATTTTCTTAACATAATTATTTTATAAGAAATCGAGTGGCTAATATTAAAATTTTTCTTTAGCTCTTTTTATTTGAACTTATGATGTTTAACATTAGTTAAGTTATCACTATTGGTATGGGAAATTCGGAAGATTAATGGCTACTAAATGATTTAAAAAATAATAATCGAACGGCCGATGGAAATTCTTTAACCCTAAATATAATTACGTCCTTAAATTATTCATTACTATATTATTAATAAACATACACCATTCTATGATTCAGTGAAATATTTATATGGAAGGATTATTATAGCCTTTTCCTCATGGACAAAGCTATGCTGACTTAAATATTTTAAATAATGTTTTTTTTCTCACAATTTGACCAAATAAATCATCAAATAGCTTGTGCGTTGGCATTTAAAGTATCAAAAGTTATAGGGTTAGATCTGTTCTATCTTGTATACTTGAATATACTAAGATTTTGAGATCAAGTGAATTGCGTATGAATATTTTTAATTTATATGTATAAGAACTTTATTCATTTTAATTAGTTGTCCAACAATATAACTTGGTAGAAATGTTATAATCATTAATTGTATTATTCCATAAACCACTAAAGCGAAAATAATTTAATAGAAGAATTTTAAGTTGTTCAATGAGTACTTACGTTAGAGCATTGTTATTTTCATCTCTGTACCAATGTGCAATCACCACCATGCATTAAAAATTTAAAAAATGCGTATTGAACTGAAATTCAACACCGTTAAGCGAATTATAAAATTACTATCAGTTAGTGTCAAAACCTTCACCAAACGTAATTACTGACAAAGCATTATATATATTTAAGTATTATATGTAATTCTAAATATAATTCTAGCAACAAATTATAAGACTTTATTTATGTGTAACTACATCATAAAAGTAATGTAATACAACTAGGTGCTCATTCAGGTAACGTGATAATAGATATTAAAACTAGTGATGGGCATTTTCGAATATTTTAAACAATCGAATGCTATTCGACAGTTTTGCAAACCTATTGAAAAACTATTCGAATTGTTTTTATACTACCGAATAGTGTGTTTTTAGCATAAACTATCGAATATTTTTAAAAAATATTCGAATGGACTAACGAATGGTTTCAAAAAATATTCGATTAGTTTTATCTAAAATTTTTATTAAGTACACTTAATTATAATAAGAAGATAATTAACGAATACTTAAAATAAATTATTATACAATTAATAATAGTAAAAAGCACCATTTTACTAGTATTTCAGAAGTTATAGCATTTTAAAAAATAAACTGGGGTGAGTCTCGGGTATATTAGGGTGGCTCTTATTTTATTAACTTTTATTGATCGATCTCCATACCCTCCAATTTTGTTTTTTATTATATGAAAGTTATTTGTGTAAATTTTGGTTTTGATAACTTACCCCCTTTAGGTTCGAATCGGGGTTAAAAATTCGCTCAAAAAGGTAATTTTTCAGTTTTTGATTATTATTTTGAAAACTAATTCACTTAACATAACAATGTATAGAATATGAATTATAGATTATAATATTTTCTTCTAAAATAGTATTTACAAACATTTTCTAAAATTATTTTTACTTGCTCAAAAAAAATAAAATAAAAAAATAATTTACTAAAATTCATTTTTTGAATATAAATCATTCTTAATTTTCGAAATAATCATTTTCAAATATTTTATACTATCGATTAACTATTCGAATTGTGTTTATTCGAATTATACTACCGAATATTTTATTTAGTATAAACTATCAAATATTTATAACTATTCGAATGGAGGAACCGAATAGTTTTAAAAACTATTCGAATATTTTTACTATTCGAATAGTTTTTGAATGACTATCGAATAGTTCGATAGTTACTATTTAATATTTCCCATCACTAATAAAAACACCAGTTAACAATAATATTGGGGTATTATTTTGATTATTTGTTTGTATTAATATAACTTTGTTTGTACCTTGTGGAACTTTATGGAATTCAAATGTCAGGTTATAAACAGTTGTAATTTTTACTTTTCATTTGAATACAACACTATCAGTATAAAAACATATTGATATATATACATTTTGTGACATATGTTTTATGCAATACCTATATTACACGATTGTTAGATATAAGATTAAATGGTCTAAAATTACAGCTAATGAGTATTAAAGAATATATAGTATTTAAAAAATAAAATAAAATAAAAAGTTCATGTATACTTGTTTTTTTAAGAATTTATCAATTTTATATAGATTTTTAGCAGTAGTAGGTCATAGGGACGTTTGTGCTGATCAGGCACTAGTGTGGTATTGAAATGTTAATGTTGGTGAAGGACGAATAATGTGTACGTTACAGAATTAATCCACCTCTAAATTTTGAAAATTATGTTGTTATACAAATCATGTCTTGTACAAAAATATTTATAGGGAAAATATAAAATTAATTTTGGATTCCTAAAATATCTTTATAGTTGCATCAACGTTCATTATTAGTTATTTAAATCCAAACGAAAAATATTACAAATTTATTTTTATTTTACAATTTTATTAGTATTTTATATTTTGTTTATTATATTGCAATAGCGTATAAAAGTTTTCTACATTAATATTTAACATTTTTCACATGAATAAATATAAAACTAATGGTCAACGACTATGCCACTATATTTAATTTGTACGATAGTTTCAAATTTACTAACTATAGTAAATAATAACTAGGAATAATAGAAATAGGAGTTTGAATGATTAGAAGATTTTAAGGTCGCGCAAAAACATGCAGTAGCAGTCATTATAATTAGTGTACTTATTTCATTGTGCATGACAGTCGTTACGGCAGTGGATCATATGGGTCAACGAGAAATTCTATTATAAAATTATGCATTGTATTCCATGCAACATAGTAATAAAATATAAATGATTACTTGAATCCAAATTTATGTAATTCAATGTGGATGCCACACCGGCCTTCCATCTGGGTACAGTAATGAACAATCTATTTCTCCAAACTTCCAAGCCCAAAGGCATATTATTAGCTTGAATGAACTCTCTATTATTGATCGCCTGTTGTCTTGTTTGTTGATCAGGAAACACAAAATCTACTTGTCTCCAATTAAAAACTTCTCGGAGACGATCATTAACCGATAATACACCATTTGAGAAAAGGCCCAATAACAATAGTGCTAGCGCAAACTGAGCCATTTTTATCTAATAACAAATATTTAAAACTAATTATGAATATATCTACCATATCTAAATAAGATAATTCTACTTAATTCATTTAGATAAATAATTTTATATATTGATTTTGTAATGAATTATGTATTAATACTTAAACATTAAAATTTACATAAATAGTGTAAGTATATTTTATATTTAAAATACCAAGATAATACATCAGTTATATACTTATCCGACGATAGTTTTTTTAAAAACAATTTGGTTTATAATTATTTATAGAAGTATTAATAAAGAATTTAATTATTAAAGAAGTATTTTAGCTTTTATGTTAGTTATTTGTACTAAATTTATAAGAGGTGCACAGCTGATTCAATATTTGAAACCTTATAATCTTGAATCAGACCTTTGCGTGGACCTTAATTTTGAAGCCCAATCCGTCCGACCTATTGAACAGTTGACAAATTTTGGTCCATTAAAAGATTTTTTATCATAATATGGTACTATATATATATACAAAGTGTTCAAAAATAAGAAATAGGCAAATTGTTACCAACAATGACAATAATAGAAACCCGTTTTTTACTTACTGAACACTCAATATATGTATTAAAAATAATAACAAATAAGAATAAACTGCAGATGTCATGATAATAATAAAATAGTCGCAAGGTCTATCCCTAAAAATATTTCATTATAATAAATATGTCTATTAAAATACCTAAATATGTTCGATAAGAATTGCATGAGTACATTTTTAAATGTCTCTTAATTCATTTGTATGGAGATAACTTATGGAAATCTAGTGTGGTCTAATTAATCGTTCACCGAACGGTTATTAGCTTATAATCCGGATCGTCTAAATTTTTATACCCACTTGAGCCCCCAGTCCAAAAGAGTCTGGCACAACCCTGAACCATAACATAAATTATATACCCATCCAGATTGAGACTCTAGCTGGACTTACTCATGCAGAGTTTTGTTATGAATACAGCCAAGATTTTTTAATTGGAAATTATTTCCTTTATAACTGAAGAAATGTCCTTTAAGTTATTTCTAGTTTTGTACAGTTAAAAATGCCGTTGTATTATGAAATTCATTTTAAAATTTCACTAATTTACTAGTAAACAAAAATTTGAATCAAAGATGGAGACATTTAACAGGAAGTATGATTATTATCCAGAGCGAATTCAATAAAACAAAACAAGGTCTCGGCCGTTTTATTCGTCAGTCCCGAGGCTGCTCTGCTTTCGGTATTTTTCGTTGTAACATTAGTTAAAATTATATCTTAACGAGTTCAGTTAATAGAACAATAGGGAATTCCTGTGATACTAAATACATACAATTTAAAGACGACAGACGCTTACTTTTACGTTTTGTTTTCACTGAAGGTCAGTTGGAATAGAGTATGGACCTAGTTAAATTACTTGAATAGTAATTGATAGTAATTTAATAACTATTGAAAACAAGAGTGGCGTAATTCCATGAAATCGCAGACATTTTAATGTTTTATTTCTTATTCATCTAAAATTATGCAACAAGATAGAACGACAAAAATTGAATGATACATTAAAACTAAATTTCAAAGCGTTATTGAGGATCATTGTTTCACAAAAAATTTAACCTTTAACAATATTTCGTCGTTTTGTGTTTGAAAAACTAATCAAAATTAAATTTACTTCTAAAGAGTATTTTTTTTTTATCTAGAGTAACTTTACTAGTGAATGAAAAGTTAAGAGTTTTTAATCTTATATTTTTATGTCACTCATTAAGCTAATAAATATTTTTTCTCTAGAAAATTCTCTATAGTTATAATGTAAAAATATTTAAAATTAATTAACACAACAATTTTAATTTACAATTTTAAATTGAAATATTCCAATGAATGAACAGCTAATATTAACAATATTGACAATTGTGAGTTAACACCAAATTTAAATATTTTTTTTGTTATAAAAACTACTAATATATCAACTTATTACTATCAAATTAAATAACTTTTTAGTTAAAAACTCAGTGCTGTTTGTTCACTTGTAGTGTTCATTCTCTGGAATTGTCGCCCTATTCACTTAACATAATTATAAATTTATCATACAAACACACAATATGATTATTTTATATTATTTTATAGCCACTTCTTTGTTTACTATGATATTTAAATAAGAATGATAACACAAAAGAAATTATAAATTTAATTAATTATAGATTGGATTCATTTTTATAATTACACAGAGATCAACTAAATTTATAAATCAAGTTAAAATATCTTTTAATAATAGATAATAATAACTACATCAACCCATCAATACACTTTATTAATTTCTAAACAAGAAGAATAGTAAACGGGAAACGGCATTTGTCAAATAAAATCTTCATTCTATTACACGAGTAAAACATTTATAGACTTTATTTTGATATCCGTTCGTGTAACGGATTTAATAGTAAAGCTTTAAGCATAATAAGTTGCAAACAAAATGAAAAAAGTACTTTAATTATTATTCAATAATACATATTTATATACAACACATATTTCATTGTTTTATTTTTACTGCAAACTTAAGAATAATTTACTATTCATATGAATAATTTATTAAACTTTAATTAATTAAATTTTTAAGCTTACCTTTGATGGCGTTGTTACGATTTATCTTGTACTGAGCACAGTAGTATAAATCGCCAGTAACAACGCCGACGGCCGGTGAGCAGAAACTAAACAGAATTTGACTTGTGAACACTAAACGATAAATAAGAGGGGGACAACCAGTTTGCACCTGAATCTAAGTCCTTGGGATTTTACAAGAGATTTCCCAAGTACAATACAATTATTCACCATAAATTGATGCTTTTATTGGTTTCAAATAATACCACAATTCCAACCAGCTAGTTAATTATTCGTATAATACTTAATCTATTCTTCGGTTAATGGTGCGTCATGTACACTGAATAAATCATTTAGCCTATTGATCATTTTTGTTAACCGTATCAATAATTTATAGACCTTGTATAACAGGTAAAATATAAATTTACACTTTTTTTTATTTTAAACGTAAAAAACGGGGTTGTAATGACACCTTTCATTTTCATTTTTTTTAATGTATGAAGGACTGTGGTAGCTTAGTGTTATAAATAATACTATGGATGATTATTACTAGTGATGGGCATTTTCGAATATTTTAAACTATCGAATGGTATTTGAATAGTTTTTATACAACCGAATAGTTTATTTTTGGCATAAACTATTCGAATGGGCTACCGAATGGTTTTAAATAATATTCGATTAGTTTTACCTAAAATTTGTATTAAGTATACTTAATTATAATAAGAAGATAATTAACGAATACTTATAAATAAATTATTATACAATTAATAATAGTAAAAATTAGTGATGGGCATTTTCAAATATTTTAAACTATCGTATAACTATTCAAATTATGTTTATATAATCGAATAGTTTATTTTTAGCATAAACTATCGAATAGTTTTAAAAACTATTCGAATATATTGTGTAACTATCGAATATTTTTACTATTCGAATATTTTTTGAATGACTATCGAATAATTCGATAGTTTCTATTCGATATTTCCCATCATTAATTATTACCATATGTATTATGTTGGTTAATTGATTTGTCGTTATATGGGGAGACTTTGCTCGGAAATGTAAATTCAGATAATTATCATTAATTGGAATGTTAATAATGTAATAAATCTACTGTTACTTGGTTAAAGCTATGATGCAGTCATACAAATTTTTGTTCATGCTTTATACTTTTTATTTAAAATTATTTCATGAATTACGATATTATATCATTAACTCAATAATACTTAAATCATTTCCCCCTCCAAATGAAAAAAAATTGTATCATCAATTTTCACCAAGTAATTTTGTTATGAGAGGATAAAATACCCAAATCCTCTCATGATTACTCTAGTGATTTTACACAAATGCATACTAGATAAATATTGAATTTAGCATCAATATTTATTTATTCGTGTGTTTATCAAAAAATTAATAAAAACTATGTTCATATTATATTATTAATGTGTATTAAATGATTATTATTTGTATTAAATTTTTGTCCTTTGTTGAGCCCTTATATATGTATATATTTAACTCAAAAGGGCTCAACAAAGGACAACAATTTTCCGCCTTAAAACATTAATACACATATAATTTTCTACATTTTCTATTTTATGAATTTTTATAAACAATGAACGCTTCGATTACTCTTTATTTCAATAAACGGTTATTTATAACAATAAATTCAAATAGTCTCAACAAAATTAGAAGGCTATTACTCATAAATTTATTTATTGTTATAATGCTTAAGCGGCATTGACTTTAAATAAGTCTACACATTATAAAAATTACTTATCATCACTGGAAATTTATTACTAATAGCCTTTTTTTACCAAGAAATAATTTACAAAAATTTTAAACGTATCTTATTTTAAAACTCGCAAGAATTTGATTATTTCAGCAATATAATATTCTTTCTTTTTATAAATATTATACTTTAAGTAAATTTTATTAATACAATTGTTTTTTTTAATAAATGTTTAGTACTAAGATTAACAAAAACATCTAAATTAAAATGCACAGGTAGTTAAAAATGTCTAAGTTGGTCATGGTAATTTGAAACATGTTTTAATAAAAAAAATTGAACTGAAAGAGAATAAATTATGGAGAGTAAACAAGGATCGATATGCTCATTATAACATTGACAAACAAATTGCACAATGATGTAAGGCGTGTCGAGGAGATACTCAATGTAATCAACAATAATACATTTATTGGAACTTTTGAGATATATTTTATTTTTCTTGTGCATAAAAATATATGCCAATCTGCAGATATTTATGATAAATAAAGCGCTATTGTCGTTATAAAAATGCAAGACGATTTGGAAAGTTCCATTTTATAAGTGAATTAATAAAATCAAGAAAATATTATAATTTTAATTCAAAGGTGCTATAGCACCTTTACATTAAAAATATTTTACTCGAATTTGTAAATAAATTTCAAATTGTTTCAATTTTTATCAACTAAAAACTGGTAGTACATCCTGAAATGCGGACATCTAAAAGAAATAATAAGACTTTCAATGTTTATTTGTTCTTATTTACAAAAAAAAAACACCAGTTAATAAAAAAATAGTGTAATTATATTTAGCTAATATTTAATGGTATTTATATAATAAAAGTAACTTATCTTAAATACCTAATGTACAGTCAAATGTATTTAACCAGTTTTCAGTAAGCAAAAATTAAAAAAAAAATGTTTGGAATGAGTATTCTTCAAAAATAAACTTCCACTTACCTCAATTTTTTTTATAATATGATAATATATTATTATAAAACTATATAATGTGATTTTAATAGAACTTTGTGGGGTATAAGTTCCTCCTAACCATCTTTAATTAGCTCCGATGTTAGAGTCAAGGAAGGGTTTGTAATTAAAAATTTGTAGGATTTTGTTTTTGTCGAATTTAAGTTTAAGTGATGGTAGTACTTAAAGATTTTAATTATTTATAACTATTATGCTGAAAACTATTCTTATAATATAAATTTTATAAAGTTGTAATGACATAAATATTTAGATTACAAAAAAAGAAAAACGAAAACTTAACCGAAAAACAGGTTTTAAAATCTGAACCCTTAAAAATTAACAAACGGAAACAGTTCTTATCTGGCAAAATAATTATTTAAAGAATATTATTTGGATGTTTGTGAGTATAACATAAAATTATCAACCCAAGAATTTTCACTTTAATTGCATTTACCACTATAATAACATACTCAATTAATTATTAAAAATTTTACACCCTTATTTATTATAGGAAAAAATAATAGTTTATGTCTCCCATTATAAATTTATCATTTATAATAAAAAACTTTTGAAAGAATTTATGAGTTAGGTAATTTACTTGATAAATTTTTAACAATTTAATTTTAAATAAAACAACAAACTAAATTATTTTAAATTATCCCTGTAACATGTTTGATATATCCAATTTTACTTTTTGAGCCGAGGGTAGAAGTTAAGGTTTTATCAATATTTCTTCTATTTATAGAGCTAATTTAAAATATGGAGACCTCTTTGACTGTTACCTGTAACAGTATGAGTATTATAAGATTTCAGCCATATTATCTTCTTCAATAATACAATGTTGTACAAATATAAATTAAAATAAAATTATTAATTCATTTCCTTAACAATTTAGTTACTATAAATTAGTTATCTATATCAATTTACAAATAATAAGTAGAGCTGCCATACATTACCCCAATTAGAACACTTTATAAAAACATTCAAAGTGATCTAATATGTATGATGAAAACTTTGTAAACGTATTTTAAAAGAATTTGTAGCAAAAAATAATATTATTTAAATCAATATTATTTTATATTATATATAATGACACCATATAATGGTATCATTTTAGAACGATATTTTTTGTAAAGGGAAAAGGATTTTTAAAAAAATTTTGATTAGTAAAAATTATAATGTTGGGTAACATTTTAACATCTTTAAGCCAATAATCTCCCATGAATCACAAATTATAGCATTTTTTCCAGTAACACAATATTTTTTTTAAATAACATACATTTTAACCCTTAACTACAGACGTGTAAATAAATGACGTAATTACTGATGTGTGGTCTACCAGATTGTACTCTTGTACTTCATATAATTAATAACTAGATGTCAACCATTTAAAGGTACATTAAAAACAAATACAATTAACAACAATGTATAAAAAGTAAATAGTGAACAAAAATTTGATGCGGCCTGATAGACCGCATGTTGGTAGTTAATGGTTAATAGTCTACCCAGATTTTTCTTTCTAATCCAGTCTAGTTGTATATCAAATATTAATATTGAATACTGGTAAACTTCATAATATCAGCTAAAATCAATATTTATAATAATTAATTATATATAATAATATATAAATATTCAGTGGCTAATTAAGGATTTTTCAATGTGATGGCTAATACCAAAAAAAAAAAAATCTTTTTTTAGATGATTTTTACCTATAATATAAAAGATCTAATGAAGAGGATTGGGGATTAGTTCTTTTTAACTCTTTAGTTACACCTCTAGTATGTATTAAAATAAAACTATTAGATGCAGTTGTTAATATTTTTATCATCTACTGCATAATTGATAGATAAAAATTTAAATTAATATGAGTTTGTTTTTTAATTTGTTAATTATACTTAAAATAAAATCTTACATCTAGATGTTTTATAACAAAAATCACGTAAATAATCGAATAGTTTTATCTGCACCACATGTTAACACCCACGGTTCTGTTGGATGGAATGTAACACCGAAAATACCAAAATCTGAGGTTTCTTCATGTTCTTTGAGTAATTTCAAAGGCACAATTAATGGGTTTTGAAGTAAATCACTAAAAATGGAATAAAATAAATTAAAACCCAAAACATTTTTCAAGATATATAGAATATTATTGTTAAAATTTTATAAAAATATATTAAAGTTTCCAAGCAAAAAGGATGTAAGTAATATTTTTCGAAATTTACAGGAGATTCAAAATAAAAATAATGAATATTAATTGTTGTTTAGGAATAAAGTTTATTAATAAGCAATAATAATTATTAAAAAAACACTTACCTTTTTTCTATAGTAATGGATGAAATAAATTAGGAATTATAATGAGGGATACTATGATGTATGTAATTTACTGATGATATAGCGTTGATAGAAGAAAATAGAAAGGAAGTTAACAAAAGGCTCAAAATGTGGATATTAGTCCGTGGAATTAAGAGTTATTAGAAGTAAGACAGAGTATATAGAGTATCAGTTTGACAAAAGATAACTTGGGGTTAATGAAATGAAGTGAGTAATGATAATAAGCAAGGATGCAATAGGAGGTGGTATGTTTTAAATATTTAGGATCATTCATTGAAATGTACCATGGTATTGTTGACCATGTAAGCCAGTGAAGCTGAAACCTATACCTGTTGTATGGTTCAGAGTGTTGGGCTGTTGGCAAGTAAATAGTTGAATAGATTAATGAGTGGTAATGAGAGAAGATAGGATAAGGATTGAATATGTAAGAGGAAGTATAGAAGTACTGTCAACCATAGATAAGTTAAGCGAAAATAGGTTAGATTCACCATCTAAGCCATGATTTAACCAATCGTTTTGTGAGGATAGAGAAATTGAAAGATTTAAGAATGGTTATAGAAATATATGTTGAAGGAAGAAGAGTTAGAGAAAAAATGAAAAAGAGGTGGCTGGGTGCTATTGAGAGTGATATGAGAAGACCTTGTATGTGTATAGATTATATGGGAGATTATGTCAAGTAGTTTAGTATGTAGACGGACAACTTTTTATAGTTGGGATAAAAGCAAGGGGGAAAAATAATTAATATAATAAAAGCTACATTTTAAAATAAGTAAAAATAATTGATGTTTACTTGTAGACCATTCCGTGTGATACAATCAATGAACGATCATCAGAGCCAGAAGCAAACAAAGGATAACGTTTGTGGAAGGCAACAGATCGAACAGCTGTTGCATGTAACCTCAAAGTTTTGTATGGTTTAGTAGAAAGATCAAGATCAAACCACAGCATTTTTCTATCATAAGTTCCAACAATTATGTTATCACCACCTAGTAATCAAAACAAATTATTAACATGGCACTGTTATATTTTATTGTATAAAATGACATAATTTAGATGTTAAACACATACTATAAATACAGTATATATAAATCATGAATTTTAGTAATAAATTGAATATTGTTTTTAATTTTACTAGCAATTTTTATAATAGAAATTTTATTTTTTAATATTTGAATAGTGAATGTGTCAAACATTCTATGTGCCAAAAATATACTTGTTCAAAAAACACAAAAAACAATGGTAACATGGGCATGTCTCACAGAACGAACACCATCTATGAATGCAATTTTGTACAAGTAAAAAATTTAATTGACATTTGAAACACATACAAGATTGTGGCTTTTGGCACATAGAACATAAATCAGAAATAAAACAATTTTTTACTTTTTTGGGACATAGAACGTTTGACACATTCACCCTTCATTTATACTTAAAAAGGGTTTATGTATATTTTTCTAATAATTAAAAAAATACTGGAGTTTTCATAAGCACCTTTATATTATTTCTAAATAATAGTTAATCATGATTAATATTACTTTTATTTTTAAAGAATTCAGTTAACTCATTAATTTAATAACAAAAATTATCTCTTTTTCAAGTTGTTGATTTAAAGATAAAAAAATAAAAATAGCTAAGAAGGTAATTATAACATAATATTACTTTGTATTTATATATAACGGAATACATTATTATATACAAGATGTTAAGTAAATAAGAAAACAGGTAAATTGTTACAAACAATGAAAACAATAGAAATTTGTTAACTTAATTACTGAACACTATATAAATATAAAACAATAATTAATATTCAATAATGTATAATTTATAAAAATTTTCTTTGGTACATTAACATAAGAGAATAATTACCTGGATGGATTGCCATAGATGAAATCCACTTGGCATAACTCATTAACTTTTTAAATAACTCTTGTTTTACTAGATCATAAATACGTATATTTTTTTGAGTCTGTAAATAAATCACAAACAAATAAATTAACAGTGGCTTGGTGCAAAACCTCAACAATTTTTATTGTAATTTTTTTAAATACATTCAATCTATTTTTTACACCTTAAAAAAAAAAAATCAATTATATCATCATATATTAAATGATGGTAAAAAAAAAGTTTTTGAATTCTCATGCCAAGCTAACATATAAATAATTATAATATCTTACAGCCACAAATAAAAATGGTCTAATTGGATGAAATAGTACACTTTGAACCAATCCTTTTGATTTTGCAAATGGCAACTGTGATCGTCTTGTAGACATTTGATGAATAAGTACTGAACGATTTGCTCCATCAGGCATTACTGTAGCAGCATAATCTCCACGACCATGCCAAGTAACCTATCATGTTGAAATTATAAAATTTTTAAAAATAGAACAAATAATTTTTAATTAATTTAAAAATGTATAAATAACTAATTAAAAACAACTCACTTGTTTAATTTCTTTGAAATGGTTTAAGATTATTCTAATACCATTATCATATTCTTCAGAGGTTGGCTCATCCCACTGAACAACAGCTTTAACTTTTTCAGAAACTATAGAAAAAATAAAGATAATTATTTAAGGTTTTAAGAGACTTAAATTAAAATAATGTACCTATTGTTGTTTGAACAGGCGGAGTTGAAAGAATTGTATCAGTTTTAGATACTACTAAGTGATCACCTATCCCTGGATTTATTATTAATAGTTTACGGTCAGCGACAACTGCTATTAATGATAATGCTTTATTAGGATTCCACTCAACACTTCGCACTATTCCTCCAACTGGTATAGTTCTTAAACAACGAGCAGTACTGATTTCCCATACTGGAAGTATTAAATTAAAGTTATAAGTTTTTCTTTGATAAAAAATAACTTTTGATTATAAAAATAATAGGTTATACTTTTAACTGTCATATCATCAGAACCAGATAATAAATATTGACCAACCGGATCAATTGATATGCATCGTACCATATCATTATGCCCATTAAATACCAAAGATTGAACTGTTGGAAATGGTTGAAGATCTTTAGGACTAGGTAACTTAGGTAATAAATCTTCTGGCTCAATAGTTAGCTAAAATAAATAAATAGAAGAGTAGGTATTTAATAAAATTATATATAAAAGACATACTCTCATTTTCCTTGCTCTAGGGCACAAATATAAGTCCATACATCTTGTAAATCTTTCTTTTATAAATTTTGGATATGTTGGAACACTTCTTAAGCTAGAGTATTTTTGAGGTATAAAATGTAACTTGCGTTTCCATGGTGTTTCTTCTTGTTTCTTCCATATTCTCATCTAAATAATAATTTAAATTAAACAATACTTTAAAAAGTATTATAACTATTTGATATATACCTCACGGTCATTAAACATAAATTCTGGTGGTGGATTATATGATTCTGCATGAGATGGTAAATTTCTTTTTGGAGCTGGTATATGATCAGTAATTCTTCTCATGTGCTTATCTTCAGTATCATCTGTTTCCCACATCATATAGAAATTACGTTGTCGTTTCTTTTCACGTTCTCTTCTTTTTTGTTCTCTAGTTTTTAGCAAGCCAGCTCGTATTAAACGAGCATAACGCTCAACACGTTGTGCTTCTTGTCGACTAGCTATAAATGATCTTTTATGATCAGCTGAATTTCGAATTGGCATATTCATGACTTCAGATGTAAACCAATCTACCCATGGCTAAAGAAAAATAATTTATTTATTAGAATTTGCTAATATAACAAATTAAAAACTATAACCAACAGCATAATCATCAAAAGTTGAATCTGGTATTTTACTGGACTCAATTCTTTGAATTAATTCTACATCTTTGTCACTTAAGACTATATCTTGGCCAGTTTGTAAATCTCTTACTGTACGCCTATTTATATAAACATAAAGACACATTAATTATTGAATATTTTAATTTGAAATAAGTTTTGTCGTGTTCAGTTTTATGCTAACTATACTACTTAACAGTATAGTTACAACCTTGTACCTGTAATTATCAACATTAAAATGAAGATATGTATATGTATGTAAATATGCTAAATAATACAACAATTCATTAAAACTTCAATACATTTGTAAAAGTTTTATCGTTTAAAAGGGAATATACTTATTTCAAAGGCAATAATTTTACCAGAAATCAGGATTTTCCATTTTTTCCATAAAATTGTCAAGTTGGTCACCACGTTCTGGTTTAATAATTTGTTTACCTTCCCAGTCATAACCAACATGAGGATATTCATCATACCAATGCAAAGGTACATTACCAATAGTATTTCTTATATCCTACAAAAATTAATATTTTAATTATTATTATAATTCAACAAAATTAAGAAGTTATAATAATTTACTTCTTCATCAGAAGTATCCATTTCTTCTACATATTCTTCATATTTTATAGTACCATTTATTTTTTCTGAACATTCTAGATCATCTTTGGTATCATTCATTTCTTCAGCTGGAGAAGTGGACTCCATATTTATAAAACTGTAAAAAATTAAATAAAAATTAACAAGAGTATTCACTGTGAATTCGAATAATTAATATATATAAACACTGCTATGATCACATGTAATAAATTCATTTGGAAATGTATAAGATGTTAGAAACGTAAAATTTGATAAAAAGCACGTGAATTTGAATTCTTATCAAATTATTTCGATTATCATATTATGATGAACTATACGTGCTACAGAATGAGTTTACACTGTTGCACCGTGAAATGTAAACATTTTTCTACATGGTTGCGCTACTAGTATACATGTTGTCATACACAGGTAAGGTTGACAAAGAAGTTAACATAGATAGATTTTGAAAGTTATTTTAAAAATAAGTATATTTATAGAAATATTCAGTACATAAACTTAAACTCATATCAATTGTGAAATTGTGTTTTGCATCTCACAGTTAAAAATACAATTTCCAGATATACGTGACTAAAGTAGATTTATGTAAATGAACACAATTTTTTCAAGGTACGTAGAAAAATTAATACATGTTAATTTAAAATAATTTTTATATTTCATATTTATTTTTCAATAAAATAACTGCTAAGTTTTAAAGTCTATAAAATTATAATAAACAGACTTCGAATTTATTTTATCAATTTTGAATTAACTGGTTTTGATATGGAAAAATGAGAATAAAATGAAGTTTTATACCATTGTTTGTAGTTGAAGAAAACTACCATAGCGATTCATAGTTGATATTTGGTGCTAAACACAGTGACATATTTACGGAGGGACATAAGGGTTGTATCCCCCGTGAACTAATTTGTAACATAATTTAGATAATTGTTTGAACAAAACGATTATTAGACTTTGTTTAATAGTAAAATCCATTTTTTTATTTTTAATATTTTGTATATTTGTATTGAAAATATAGAAAAATCCTAGATCCGCTTCAGACTAAACATGTTAAAAATAAAAGAAATTAATATAAGGTATAATTAATTGCAGACCCTTATAAATGAAATGGTTTTTAACTGATTAAAATATTTTCACTGATCACTAATTAAGTAAAATTTTTCTGCATTTTATAACTGCAATAACTTTTTTTTTTTTTTGAAAACACTGTTCCTAATAAAATTTATATGAAAAATACTAATTCCAATAAACACTCTTTTGGTATACACTTTACGAAAATCAATCAAAAATCTAAGTATAGAAATGGTTTAAAAAGGCCCACTGGCTTAAAAAACTTAGAATATGCATTAACGCAAAAACATCTTATTTTTCTTTTCCTTTTTCCCATCTACTTGGCGTTGACGATCTGTATCTTAAACCTTCACTTGACACGATCTCTTACGTTATATATACATAAACTACCAGACCTCATATCACACCCAATTACATTCAAAAGTGATATAAACACTTAAAGTTTCAAATTTTTGAGTATAATATACAAGGGATTAAAAATACAGGTACCTAATTGGTTTTTTATGACATCGATATTAGCAGGTATACAGCATTGTTATTATCAATGGTAGTAAAGCACACTGTTGTGAGTTTATAAATACACTAACTGACAATACAGAAAGTATATCTATTGATAGTCATAATTGATAATAAACAATCCGTGACAATGACAGTAATGTCATAAAAAACCAATTAGCTACCTGTATTTTTAATCCCTTGTATATTATACATGTATATTTACTCAAAAATTTGAAACTTTAAGTGTTTATATCGAATAAACTAATAAAGTTATACTAAAAAATTCAAATGCCATTTACTATTGAATTAAAAATCCAAACATTTTATTAAATTCAAAATATGTGTTCCCATTTAAAAAAACAAAGTTGACACCCTTACCAGGCATAAGGGATGAACATAATAAGTTTTAAATAGTTAATCATTCAAGAATAATATGCAACTAAAAAAAACCAAAAAAAAAAGTTTAAATTATATTTATTCTACAAGTAATTGAGTGGGTAATGATAAAAAAATTACCTGTATAATTTCAAAAAAGAAATTATAACGTATACATTTTTTATTAAAAAAGGCAAACGACCTTTCGTCAAGTTGTCTTTGAAACTTGGGCATAATTAATTGTATAACATTGATACGTTCTATAACTTTTCAGTAATATCTTCTCATATTCTTTATTTTTAATTGTTTAGTTGTCCATATTATTTATCAGGATATTAAAGAAGAGTATGATAAATGATGTGTAGAATGTAAAGTCACCACGTTTAAAAAAAATTAGAACTATGGCTCTGTTTTTAGTTTATCCCTTCCCATCCAAAAAGGTAGAATTTGAATGTCTTTAAATTTAAATTGTATTATATTATATAGCAATTACACTTGACTGAATTTTTTAAATAATAGAAATAACAAATCACTTGGGGTGACCTTAAGTAGTTGGGATTAAGGCGAGAAAAAAAAAGAAGAATAGAAATGACAAATCACTCATTAAATTTTTCGGTTGGAAGAATTATCAAGTGCTTATCTTTTCTATCCGACGCCTTTTAAAAAGATAAAATAAAAAACAATTATAAAATATATAGTTTATTTTTCATGTTTTATTTTAAACCACCATTATTAAAAGTTTCTTTTTTATTTGCTGTGTCGATATTCATTGCTTAGAAATTAATATTAAAAGGATCCATATTGATTTATAAAACATTCAATTGTTTGTTGTTATTTATTAAAATGAATAAGTTGAAAATGACTGACTTACCTGATTATGGCTGATATAATTAACATTTTTGTATAATTGTTTAAGTTGAAATGAAATTATAAATTCACACAATAATAACATAAACTAAACCAAGTTACAGCATTTTTTTTAAATTTTATACTAATTAATTAAAATTTTTAATTATTGTTTTAATGACTTTGTAATTGTAGTATTTTTACTGTAATTACGAACATTAATTAAACTAAATAATATGATTATATAAGTTTGTAAAGGCATTCCAAGTGTAAAATTAACTTATTTTTAATAGTAAGCACACATAGCAAAAAATAAACGTTATCGTTTAATTTTATCTGAAAAAAGTGTAATATAAATTAATTAAAAAAGTCATTAAAACTGCATTACATTTGTTAATGCATTATTTCCTAACATATTAGTATGAAACAAATTTTAGCAAATTAATCTTATGCGAACATTTTGAACATAAAGTAGATACTTTAATTAATCTTTCTTATACTTTACAGCATAAACTTAAAAATGTATTTCTTTATATAAATTAACTAGTGAAATTACTTTTTAATATGGCCTTTATTTCTCTTAAATCGGTTTGAACTTAAAAAATTGTAACCAAATATTTAAGTGCTCATTATATCTAAGGAAATATCTTTTACATAATTAGTTCATATTTTTTGAGCTTTAAGTGCAATTATATAATTTTGACAGTACTATTTATTTTTTTGAAAAGAATATAAAAAAAATGACAAAAAAAGATTGGTAATTTGAAATTTTATTTCAGCTACCAAATATCTCAAATTTTATTTTAACATATATCGTTCCCAATTTTTGTAATAATTTATTAACTTTTGAATAATATATTTTTTAAGAACTTTCTTGATTTCTTTTTTTTATACTGGTGGTATTGCTGAATTACATTATTTTAAACAGTTTATAAAATCTAGAAGTTTCTTGTAAAAAAAAAAAACATTTTTAAATAATTTAAATTTATTAACTCTTACACGAGATGTCTATAGTTAAATAACTATTAAATGACATTAAAAACACGAAAAAAGCTAAATTGTAGTACATCAGTTATTGTAATAATTAAAGAAATTATTTTATTTATTGTCTTGAGTTATAGACGTCGCCGATATATTCATTACGTGTCAAATAATATTATACAAGTTTTACAAAAAAAAAAAAATCATTGTAAAAAAAAAAGTTAATATGGTCATTGATGACTGTTTTTATCGGCGAATCTTAATTATATTTCTTGAATTACTGTTCTAAATATTGGTTGCTAAATGAGGATACTGTCTACGTAATAAAATGTTATCCACAGCTGGCAAGAGGAGAAATTTCTTTGTTTTTATCCCGTTGGCTTGCGTCTCTGCTGCTGTTGGTGACGAGTTGATCCTTGTTTCCTCATCTGACCCCCTAATATTCTGGATGTTCCTGCTGTAATATATTATTAATAATAAATATATGTAAGCCGGATGATCAATTAATGATAAGACACTCATTTAATTGGAAACTATAGAAAATTTCATAAAGGAAATTATTGTTTCATTTAAAAAACTTTATAATAATCTGTTATTAAATATTATAAAGGTTAAAAAAGTTAATTTTCTTTAATGGGAAATCCTATTTTAGTTTAATGATAAGATAGGAAAATAATTTCCAAACAATTTTGTTCTTTTAATTATTTTTTATCCAATAAACCGTTTGTGTTTATTTTAAGATTTTGATTTTAAACACAAATTCATGATTAATTTAGTTTTCAAAATACTAAAGGTAATAATAATCTGTTTCAATGCTACATATTATTATCGGTTTTTAATCTTGTATGTGATAGCATGAAGAAATTATGTATGCTAAATATCAAATTATAAGTAGAATATTTGTCTGATAAAAATCCTTATTTATAGTTTTCTTTTAATTGAACCTTTTTTTTCACTTTATAATATGACAGAAAAAAAACTAAAAACAACTTTGTTCTTTCAATTGTTTTATACGATCTACCGTTTGCGTTTACACGTTATTTAAAGATTTGTATATCAAATAAAAATTCAACTTTAATTTGGTTTTATAATATTAGTGGGAGCAATAATCTGTTACGAGAGTGACAACATATTATTGTTATTTCTAATTTAGACAACTAACGTGAAAATTTTTTTGACAACTATTATAATAAATAATTTATTGCTTATTATAACAGATTATAAACGCCTCGATGGCAACAATAATACCCCTTGGCACTGCCATCGGTATTATAAAACCAAATCTATGATTAATTTTTACTTGTCATCCAAATCTTTAAATAATGTATAAAACGCAAACAAAGTTGCTTGTAATTTTTTCCTGTCATTATAAAGTTAAAAACAAGGATTTCCATCTAAGAAAATTATAATTAAATAAATTTGTCCTTGAAAGGACAAAAAAAAAGATTTAATTAATTATTATTGTAGAGTTTTTTGAGCCTAATATTTTTCTCTTTACAAAAATTTAAAATTCTCAATAGTTTCTAAGTAAATAAGTGTTTTATCAGATATTAATTTCCCTGTATATATACCAATAGTAATAGACAACTATATTTGCTGATCACTATCTCTGTAATTTTTTTATTAAACAATATTTGTTTTCTTAAACTACGTTTTAATTATATTTTATATAATTTAAAAAAAATAAATTTTTTATTTTTTCAAAATTTTAAAATAGACATCTTTTAGCATTTTATTTTACATATCAACTCTATGTATTGAAATATTTGTAACTTTATTAATATTTGTCCTAGTTGACCTATCAATATTTTCATAAGAAAAGAGCTATTTTGAAATTTTAATAAAATTAAAAAATATGTATTTTTTTTTCTTATTAGTGTAAAATTATAACATTAATTATGTGAATTAATAATAACAATATAATAAAAAAAATAATAAATAAAAAAAAAACACTTCATAGTGTAAAATTAATACCTTCTCAGCTTCATATCGAAGCTAACAATAGTACATAATATTAATGTCTAATGTGTGGTAACCATTTTTCGATAATAATTCCATTGTAATTAAGTCCGTATATTTTTATAAATATTAAATTTCAGTGCTCAATTTAAAATTAGTAATTTAAAATTACTTATATTTTAATTATAATGGAATGTATATGATTTATTTATTTAAATATGAATATTTTTAGTTAAAGTCGTCAAACCGAATAATTAAATAATAGACTATTAAAAATTAATTAGAATATATAATATTAATTACAAAGTGTATATTCTAAAAATTTGCATTTGACTTAGAAGGAGTATTATAAAATGTTAGTCAAGTCAATATTTGATAAAATTAATTAAAAGGCTATCAATGTAGGCGGCATCATCTACTTGACGGCAAACACTCACTCATTTTATACGTTTACGAGAAGATGAATAACAATTAGGCTTAATAAAAATCAAAATGGAACAGAGAAACAGATTATTTTAGAGATATGTACTTTACTTTCTCTCTATATTGCTTTGAAAATATATACGGCAAATGTAGGAGTTATTGGTACTGAATTAGTTTAATTATTGTTTTGACGTCTATAAAAAAATATATTTCTAAGGCATCTTATTTAAATCGCCATATATTTATTATAAATTATAAAAGTAAAAGAAAAAAAAAATTTTAATTGACTTAATATTTTGAATTTATGAAAATAAAACTACCTTTTTTATTTCTGTTATAATGTAATAAATTAGTAATTATTTAATAATTAAAAAACAGCTATTATACTGGATAAAATAATAGTAAAGACATAGAAAAAAATTACACACTTTATGTTAAATTTTTAATGTTGAGTAAAACTGTATCACTTTTCAAAATATTTTGCCTGGGCGTAATTAATTTTGAAAAGGATTTATGTTTATGAAAAATAAATTATAAAAATATTAATATTTTTGTATATTTGTACAAATATTTATACTGTTGTATTAAATATACCAGAAAATATCTAAGTTATATTAGAAATTACTCAAATAATTATTAAAGTTAATTTAGTAAATCGTGACTTCACCCAAAAGTGACCAAACTTAAACAACAATTTATTACAAAATAGAGCTTTATTTAAATTATTGTAAACTCAATTTATTATATTTATATGTGTGTACTGGTGTACATTAATTATAACGCATGACCGTGTAGTTACTTTCATATTTTATTCATATAAAAACTTGATGTGAATAAGTTAAAAATAACAAAAGGAACTGTTTAGATAATTTAGTTAAATCTAACAAACATTTAATTATTCACCTTTTAGTTACTCAGCAATAAATAGTTTTTACTAAAAACTATTTGTTACTTATGCATCAAAACGTTTAATTAAAATTTTGTGTTTACGTAATGAAGTCAAGTTTGAAAATAAAATGAGGAAGATATTTCACATTCATAGAATTTTACTTTATTCGAATTTTGTTCATGCCAAAAACGTTTTATGTCAAAAAACAAAGTGTATTTTAAACACGTCAAATTGAAAACAAATAAAACTGGTATAAGTAATTCAAAATGAAAAAAGTGACAAAGTTCACATGTGCTCAATGTATCCTTTAAGTTACTTTTTGTAAAATATTTTAAATTATTGTATTATTTTACACACTAACCAATACCATATTTTTAGAGAAATAATTTTTTCAAGTACCACGAATAGTGTTAATAACAAAAGGTTGAAATGTATTAATGGTATCAATAGAAAATATAGGTATTTGATGGCCATTGCTTAATTAAATTCTAGTATTCAATAAAATCAAATATATGGATGAATAAAAAGAGAATTTAAATTTATAGCCGAAATAAAAAAAATGCAATAGATTCGATCACAATGCGTAGTCAAAATAATATGAATAGGTATTGTTTTCCTGATGAAATTATAAATGTTCACTTAATTTATTATAGGTTAGTGCTTTTTAATTTTAACACTTAGGAATATCACCCGTTTTAACAAAAATATAAAGTATATTGTGCAAATGCTTATAGCAATAATTTTTATCTAACGTATTATTTGTACGCGTTGTTAAATAATAATATAAAAAAATATTTGACATTATAGAAAACATTTTAATCTAAAAAATATTGGTTTAAATATATGGTAAAAATATTATGAAGTATGAATAAAAATCTTAAATTTAAAATAACTATATAATATTAATCTTTATAGTTTTCTTTAATTTGTTATTGTTTCTAAATTTAGACTGCCACATTCATCTTCCCACTCCAGGTGTAAAATTGTGTATAATTTTTAAAATAAAAGTACCCTTAATATATAAGGAATTAACTTAAAAAAAAAATTTTACAAATTATAAATCAAGAAATAAATACTACTTAATATCTGAAATAATCATTAATTTAGAATAAAGTTAATGTTTTAATAAAATTTTATAGAAATCTATAAGAAATCCATACAAGTGGTTAATGATAAATCAATCATTCTGTAATTATCATACTTTGTATCTATTTAGATGGTGTAACTAGAGTCTTTCTGAAAGGGAGGCATAAGATTTATTGACAGTATTTAATCGTTTTATTAGGATTTTTTTAATATAAAAGGTTTATACCAAAAAATTAAAATTAAAAATAAGTTTGCACTATTTTTGTTAATTAATTGTAATAAATTGAAAAAAACTATTTAATTATAAAAAATAAATTTTAATTCCCATATATTTTTAGCGTCAGTATGACTCTAAATGTGACTTCGCATAGTTTTTACTACATTTACTGGAGGTTTATGTAGTGCCTAATTAAATACATATTTTAAAAAGCTATATATATATTCTAGATAATTCTATTAAACTGTAAACGAAAAATATCATAAAATATTGAAATCATATGGTCGGATTGAGATTTAATTATAGATATCTTATTAATAAGGATACATGGGTTTGTGGTAGGATTGGTGTGATAGCTGTTCATATGGTTGCTGTCGGAGATTTTAATGGGACAAACTATATTTCTGTTATAGCTCACTGATTAGGGTACTCGGTATATGATTTAATACATCGATTTCCAATTGAATGAACAAGAAACCCTTTGAACCACATAGTATTTCAGAAATTATATCCCGAATTGTATGTCTAAAACGTTTGGTTCGACCAGTCCTTTTGCTATGTAACATATTGCTATAATAGTATTAACATTATCTTAAAATGATGGCCGGATAACAGAAAAATACTAATAATATTATTAAAAAAAACTATAGCTAACAAATATGAATTATTCTTACAATCACGTACGCACATAGAGTTAAAAAAATATTTCCCTTCTAATTTAAACGTGTACGACCCATGAAAATGCATCATATTATGCTTAAAATAAATAATATATGCATCATATTAACCTCTCTATAAATCGTAGTAAACATATAGCTATGAAAAATATTTGATAATGAAAATGATTTCAACAATAAAACATCGACATTTGTTAAGTCTTTTA